TTCTGCATCTGTTAGGTTTTTTTGTCTTGATCTGTAATTTCAATGGAGTAGGAAGCCCTAGTAAAGTAACCCCTCCCACCCCGTGCTGATAGGGAACTAGTGTTATAAATTATAGTCAGAGAGATGCCTACAGGCTTTGAAAAGTTAAGTGACTTGCCCAGGGTCACATGGCCAGTCCGTATCAGGCAAAATTTGAACCCAGGTTTTTCTAACTCCAAGACTTCCTCTATACTTCCTCTCAAGCCTTATACATACTAGGCATTTTATTTATTTATCTATTAATTAATTTATTTGCTATTCTTGTTAATTGTCTTCACTAAAGCCTTTTTCAGTGAGAAAGAGAAATAAAATAGGGGAAGGGTTCTTTTCAAGAAGGAAGTGAGGTTGACAGACCAAGCATCAATATACACAGTATCAGGAAATTTGCAAAGGTTTGTTATATGGAGGAATTCAGGATCAATGGGGGGTGTTTCTGCCTCTCTTTCAGGATGCAAACAGTGATGTCAAAACAGAGGATTACGGTTTCAGGAGTGAGTTTGTCAGAAGGCCACCAGATGAATGGAAATGCAGATGTGGGGCCGAGAGAGCATAAAGGAGCTTCCTCATTACACCCGGGGGGGGGGGGGGGGGGGGCTCCAGCTGGCTCAGAGGGCAGCATTTTAGAGCAATCTCTAAGCATTATTAAGCTCCATAATCAACCTCCCATAGGAACCCCTATGTGTGGCATGTTCCCACATCCCACAGTACAGGTAAGTGGGTTTTTAAAAAAAATCTATATTCAATTTTTATTCACAGCTTTTACAGACTCCCAATAGGCAAATGCTATAAAGTAGTTTTAAGTCCCACGAACTCAGCAGCAAGCCTGGCTAATAAATCAGCGTTTTATGTAAGGTGGGAGAGGAAGTAAGGATTAAGTTTCCGGTTTTAGGGAACTACTGTGCAAATTCTAGTATAATGGAGAAGCAGAACGGGGGGTGGGGGGTGGGGGGTGGGATGCAAAGTGGAGGGCATGAATTATGAAGAACTACCAACCAGAGTTAGGCTCTCACTCCTGCAACCATTCAAATTTGCTCACCAGCTGGTGGGTGGCTCCCAATTAGACCTACCAATTGCTCCTGTTCTCTCCCTCTAGCCTTTAGCAATCAGCACCTCCCCTTCCCTGCCATTCCTGGCCCCAAACTCCAGGATGACTATTTGGGCATTTATCTTCTCTTGCAAACTCCCCTAAAATGCAAACACACGCTTCTTCTAACCATTTCCAGAAAAGGCAATAATAGCCTAGGCCAGTGGCATGCTGGTAAATCTTTACAACCAGCTCTATGAGGGAAAAAATTGTGTTCATGGATCCCACAGGTGATAAGCATCAGAGGCAGGTGATGTAGCCAGGTCCTCTGCCTCTACTTTCCACTGTACCAGGAGTTTGCCACACTTAAACAAATCCCAGTTAGAGGCCAAAAGAAAAAAAATCTGGTCCATTTAGGTAATACCCTTAAAATGTATAAAACATGACCTTTGGGGTCAGCATGGTATTTCACACCCACTATTAAGCACAATGCCCAGGAATGGTAAATAGAGTGCTTGTCTACTGAACCAAATACCTTGAAACTTAGGCAAGATATAAAAGAGTGGGTCGATTTTAGAAAGGGAAGAACATTGCAGAAAAGGCCATCCTGTTGGCAAAGGCAAGAATTATCATCTAGGTTGTTCCTAATAATAAAAATAACAACTGTCATTTACACGAGACTTTAAGATATTCGACTCTCAACAATTTTGGAAGATGAGTGCCAAGGGTATTACTATTTCCATTTTAGAAATGAAGACAGGCTGAGAGGTTAAGTCATTTATCCATGGTCACACAACTAGTAAAGATCAAAGATTTTGAACCCATCTTCCTAATTCCAGATCCAGTCCCCTCTTTCCACTAAAAATGGCTTCTGATATTTTACACTAAGTACAGATTTTTCTTGCAATTACTGGAGATGAGAGTGTTCGTGGTCAAAGAAGGGTTTTTCTCTGTCCAAAGCTATCTGCAACTTACATGGAAATGCAGCCTGGTTTTCCAGGACTTCCCAGATGTGACCAAAAGCATGCCCAGCATGATCACAACCGAGGAAGCTCATTCTAGTTAGTTAACAGCTGTTACTCACCTCCAGAAGCCTGAACTGGTTGCCAGAGGTGGATGGGGAGGATTCCAAAGAGACAAAAGCCACAGTCCTCACAACTGAGGGATGCAGGCTTAAGAACACTTGTAAAGCAACGTGCAAAGGCGTGTCAATTAATATACACCCCCCAGTAACCAGAGCTTGAGCTTCACAATGACACACGGATGACATCCCTGCCTTTCATGTCTGTCCTTCACCCCACTTGTTTGTTTGCTTTAAAATACTTGACCAGAGTTACACTGTTTATGTGTAATATGCATTATATATAGAAATACATGTGTACACACACACACTGCTTGTCCTATGGTATAAGATTTAATTGAGGAAAACGTCCAGCTATGGATCTCTCACTTCCTATGTGATGGGATTCTCAAGTTTATAAAAGAAATGAGCCAGGCCAAGGTCCAAGTCCTTTCCTGGCACAGGAGTAATTACTTATGAAGCTGGAAAGAGCCTCTGGGTAAAAGGTGCTACATTCATGACACATCCCTTCTACTCCTCCTCCTCCTTCTATACATATTCAGTGTCTTGGGTTTGTTTTTTTTTCCTCTTTTGCTCAGAACACAATAAAGAAATCAGGCCCCAACAACAGTTTTTGTAGCTGGCCACGAAGGCCAGAGCTCAAAGTCTAACAGGCAGTCATTGATTTCTAACGCTGCTCTCAGAAACACAGTCACACCCAGTGTGTCCTCAGTCGGGCAACGTGCAGCCAGCCAGTCAACAAGCAATTATTAAGTACTTAATACATGCGTCAAGCACTGTGCTAAAATGCTAGGGATAAAAATAAAGACTAAAAACAAAAACAGTGCTTGCCCTCAAGAAACCTATATTCTAACAGGGGAAACAATATCGAAATAACTATATATAAATAAGATAAGAAATAAGAAATAACTAGATACATATATGCATGCAAAACAATCTAAATGAGGAGGCACTAGCTTTTGGAGGTGGGGGGAGACAGAGAAAGGCGTCCCGCAGAAAGCGGACCTGGCCTGAGCTACGGAATCCCTTTTGGACCTTCCCTCTTCATGAGTTTTTCCAAAGGGAACTTGATAGATGGAATTTCCCTGAACTTTGGTTTTGTTTTGTTTTTGTTTTGTTACTAGAAGTCCCAGTACCAAGTAGGTGGGCAAGGCAGAAGACTGCTTCAGTCTCTCCTCCTGCCTTCCTTTCTTAGGCATTTGGCACATGGTCTAGCAAGAGGAAAATTGGGGCCCAGAGAGACGAGTAAATAAATCACCTGCTGGAAGTTAAGGGGCAAACCGGAACTTGGCAACACAATTGAGGCTGAATTCTTTCTTCAATTTGCAATGCAAATCTGCGTTTTGTCTTCCGCGCCCCCCCCCCCCCAGCCAAAGCCTCGCTTCTGTGTATCAACATCCATTCCAACAAAGCCAGAGTCTGAGATCCCACAGTAATTACACGCCGCCATCATGAAACTGCTGCAACATTTCGCCCTTGAGACAACTGATCCCCACATCTCTGCATTTAGTGACCTCCCTTCTAGAAGGGACGCATTCGTGCACGCCCCCAATCTCCCAGTCCCCAGCAGACTCTACGTGCAAGAAAACCTCTGCACCGCCGGGCAGAGTTGGACTCCACTCAGGTTGCTTTGCTGGGGTCAGACATCTCTCAGCTATTATTTTTAAAAGGATACTTTACAAGAATACCCCCACCCCCAAAAAAATTCCCCAGCGCACTTCTACAACCCCAAGAGCTTCATAAAAACGATGTTATGCCAGAATCCATCAGAAGGCAGAAATTGTGAGTTTTATATATAAAACACTCACATATGCATGTGGGCGTGCTGGCAGTTTTATGGATAAACTGCAAAAGCAATAGTCCTTAGCAATTAGTCTGCTAAAGAACTGAACGAACGGGGCGGCGGGGGAGTAGGTGGTGGGGGTGGGGTGGGAGTCCTGGAGACAGGATAATGAATTTATTCAAACATTTTCAGGTTTTGCTGCGAAGGGAGTTTTTTTAGAAGGCCAGATTGTGTGTGTTTATTGAAACTGAAAAGTTTGATTGATCTTAGTCATTTAAGAGCCAAGTAAATTAAAGGGGGTGGGGGATGAAAAGGAGTTCCTTGTAACTTTCTTCCTAAAACTACAGAAGAAGTGAAGAAGAGGAAGATGTCCTAAGCAAGAAACACAGGGGAGTGGGGGTGGGGAGAGTACTAGGAGTTAAGGGGTAAACAAAACAGTCTAGTTCTCTGGAAAACACCGAACTTTTCTTTCTCTGTCTCTCCAGTGAAACTAGGGAAAATGAAGTGCGGAACTCCGTGCAGGCTGTTCCCCCATCTGATCACCCAGAGGCAGACACTTTGCCGAGTGGCTGCTTCTGGACGACTCCCGAGCGTAGCGGGTGGAGGAAGAGCGCGAGCCGGAGCCGGGAGGACGGCGGGCAAGCTAGTCTCTTCCAAGGCTGGGGCCGCAGCCCGCCGGGCCCGGCGCCCTGGGCCAAGGCAGTCAGCTGTGCCTGTCACTTGGTGCGCTGTGGGTGCAGGCAGAAGCAGCAGACGATGGGGGAAGGGGAGCCCGGCCCAACGAGCTCTCCGAGCTGCAGCGAGCACCCCGCAAAAGTGCAGCCGCCGATTGTCTTCCTTCGCCTACCCCAACACCCAGCCCTAACAACTCGAGTCCGGCCAGGCAAACGCAACAAACCACCCTAAAACGCAGACCCCTCCCGTGCTCAGCCGGGAAACCGAATGCATAAATCCATTCAAAAAGAAGCGAACAAACCCCTTCCATGGGAGGGGGTGAGGTGGGGGGGTAAGAGAAGGACGCCTGAAGGGGCTCGAGTGGGTGGGGGGGGCCCTTTCCCTTCTGGGCTACTCACCTTGGTGGGTGAAAATCTCCGTCTGGGCCACTCCAAAGGGTGTGAAGGAGTGGAGGGAAGGGAAACAATTCACAAACACAAACTTTGTTTCTTTTCTCCGGGACTTGGGCGAAGTCGTCACTTCCTAGTGGTACAAGGGGAGACTCTCAGTCTGTATCCCTTTAACCCAACAACTCCTGCTGCTTCTCGTCCTGCCGTCGCCCCCTGCAGCTGCTGCTGCTGCTGCTGCTTCTGCTCCTGTTCCGGGCGAAACTGCAGATGTGATTGAGCAGCTCGTCTCCCTCGCTCGAGCCCCTCGAGCTTCAGGATCAGGGACACCCAGACAGCTGCAGATTTATGTTTTCTCTCCACAGCCTTACGGTTGGCCCTTTGTCCCAAATAGCATCTCTCTGGACCTTACGTGCTCAGTGCAGTTCTGCGGGTAGAAGGAGGAAGTGAAAGCCGCCTTGGTACAGCTTTGCAACGACACGGCCTCCCTGGGAAAGGCTTGCTCTGGCGATATTTTCGTGCTTTTTAAGTGTTGCTACAGCTTCCATACCGGTGCAGCTCCATTCTCAGTTGCTTTGCAGTTTGCAGCTGGCTTCTTAGTTTGGGGAGGTGCTTCTCGGGGTTTCTGGAACTATGGATTTATTCTGGAGCTCGAAGTGACCTAGAAGAAATGAAGTCCCTGGAAACACTGAAACGTCACACACATGCACACAGCACAAGTGATAAAGGAATGGTGGAGGAAGAAGAGACATTAAAAAAAAAAAAAACAACTTTAGGTCTTAGCCAAATCCTTAAGCCGGGTCAGTCAGGTCAGTCAGTGGTGTACTGGGTGTTTCACTAAATATACCTAGCTTCAGTTGTGTTAAAATAACTTTCTTTTCGCTTCTCAGAGTCCTCTCGCCTATCCTCAAATCCCCTCAAATAGGCTTGTAAACTACGACTTTGTACCAAACTCTTTCACTGGGTTATTTTTGTATTCTAGTACAAACGTTAAGGCTGCAAAAATTATTTCTGTTGCAAAATTCCTTCCATCTCTGTCTTTCCATAAAGCCTGGAATTTACAGAAAAATCCTTCATTGGGCCTGAAACTTTCCATATTCGGAGGATCATAGTTAACTGGATGGTGAGAGGAGTAGGGAAGGGGGACAGGGTCTTTGAGAGGACTTTTGCTTCTTTCATAATTCTGAAATTGGACAAGTGAAGCCAGATAACTTTTCTTACTGTGCAAACTACCCTCCCGAACATTTTGGCTTCATAAATAACTACAAAGTGGTGAAATTGCAATCCTTTGTGAGGAAGGAGTTCCTTACTTGATTAGGGGGAGAGAAATTTACTTTGACTTTAGTGAGAAAGTTGCATACGTTTGAAAATCCTGGAAGGAGAGGAACACTGGCTTCGTTGTACATTGCTCTGGAAAGAAGAGGCAGTTTTAAAAAGGTGGTTCTCCTATATCAGATTTTTCTTTGCAATATTTTTTTTTTTTACAATACTATGTCGAAATAGTCCCAGTCACAAAATCCCCTATTCCTGAGCTAAAATCTCTTAATTAAGCTTAATTACCATGCAAGGCTACGGCCATTCCCTTTCCATATGAAAACAAATGTATAATTGACATAATAATAACATTTAAATAGTGGTTTGAGAAGCAGTTTACAAATATTTCATTTTATCCTCACAACAACCCTGGGTGGTAGATGTCCCATTTTATGGCTAAGGAAACTGACACTAAAGTTAAGTGACTTGGCTCAGGGTCACAGAGCTAGTTAAACGTCTGAGGCAAGACTATTTGAACTCAGGTCTTCCTGACCCCAGGCCCATCTATCCACTGTGATACCTAGTTGACTCTAAAATTGGCTGATAAAATATTATTTCATAGTTCTATATTCCAAAGGATTCGTGAGAAGTAGTTGGGGGGAAGGAACAAGTATTTATTAAATACCTGTTTTATGCTAGGCACTGTACTTACAGCTTTTACAAATATTGTCTTATCCTCACACCAACTCTGGAAGATGGGTGATATTATTACCTCCATTTTTCAGTTGAGGAAACCGAGGCAGTGATTTGCCCGGTGACACATAATTAGTGTGTGTCTGGGATTGGTCTTCCTGACTCCAGGCCAACGGCTCTCCATTTCTTTCTTACCATAAATGCTGGAGTCAGGAAAAACTGAGTTTGAATCTTGTCTTTCCACACTCACTTCCACGAACAAGTCACTTCACCTTTCTAAGCTTAGTTCTATCATCTGTAAAATGAGGATTGAAATACAGACCTCATGATTGTGGGGATTCAATGAGATTGTGTTTATGTGTTCTTTGTAAGGTATCACATACTTTTAGGTTATTTTTAAATTATCGTTTTGGCAAGAATTTATTTATTACAAGGCGACATTCTAGGTCCTGAGGATACAATGGCAAAAAAAGAGAGAGAGAGAAAGAAAGAAAGAAAAAAGAAAAGAATAAACATCCCTCAGGGATTTGCTATGTAGTGGGTAACCCCTTCACCAATGCAGATCACCACTCTTCCTTATCTCATTCTATTCAGTTCTTTTCCCTGTCCTTCCTTTCATCTTACTACACTGGAGACCATTCTCTGGTTCTTTTAATTAAGTGTGTCCCAAAAATCTTAGTGCAAGTTTCCAGCTAGTAAAGTTTAATCACTTAAAACTGTACTAAGACTTTAGTGATACCCTGTGTTTTGTGGCTGCTGATGCAATACTCTGCCATTCCCTCAGTCTCATTACTGGCCCACCTCCTTTTCCATTCATAGGTGACCTTGATGTATGACTTTCACATAACTTTTCATATTCACATCATCATTGGCAATAAATACACAGCCATCTATTAGTCACCCACCATATGTCTTTTCACTGCTTGGGTCACCTGCAATTTTTATTCTTCTGAGGTATTCCATGATTCGGAAATGTGGCATCCCCAGAAAAATATTGGCATTAAAAATATTGATTTTCTGATATAATATGGAGTAAAGCAGAAGCAGATGAAAAAGATACACTATGACTACAACAATGAAAATGAAAGAATACTAAAAGGAGGACAAACTCAGAGCAACTAGGATGACCAGCTTTGGTTCTGGAGGATAAAGAAGTATACATCCTTCCTCCTGGAAGAGAGGGAGGGGACTATGGGTGCAGACTGCACTTTGCATTTGTCATTGCCATGACTATATTGGTGTAGGGAATTCCCACTGAGAAAACTCCTTCTACCAATGCAAATTCTGCAGTGTTTCTACAATTTCATAGTCTTAGGAAGTTATCTGAGAGCCCTAAGGATCAAACATCCAGACAGAGCTGTCAGAGGCAAAGCTTAATTAAACCCGCCTTTCTGACTTCAAGGCTGCCTGTTTACTCTAAATTCAGTGTATGTACTGTATTGGTTATTTGTTGTTTGTTTTTCTTTGAAGGGAGGTTTCAGCAATGAAGAAGGAAATAGGGGGAGAGAAGTATATCCAGAAATAACCCTGATGTAAAAAGAAGACATCAGTAACAACTTTTAAAATACAAACGTACATACATATGTGTGTATACATATAGTGAGGGAACAGGTTGTATTCATTCAAAGCATTGCTCAATTTCCAATGTGTAACCCAGCCCACCCCTTCCTTCTATTCAACTGTGTCCCCAAATTATTGTCCATCCAAAGTGCCTGTCTAAAATATATGTTGTGAAAAAAAATACTCAAAATAAAATATGTGTTCTAATGGACTCAAGAGTGCCCATCTAACTGCTTCCCATAGTCTAGACTAGCAGAGTCCAAAAATGGAACTTAACCCCAAGAGATATTTGATCAACCAATCAGAGATTGGGAAGATAGGTTGACTCCCACCCTCTCTGTCATAACCAATCGTGAGACTTGCCTCCGATACAGCCATGCCTATCTTTTACCCATTATTTCCCCCAACATTCCCCAACGTCCTCTCTGATTCTGTTCTGTCCAGGCAGTTATAACCTAACCTCAATTGGACACCTCCAGCAACAGTGGCTAAAGTAGCCATGGGAATGTTCCCCTCCCCTTTATATACCCTGCCCCTTGCTCCCCAGATTAGTTTCTGGCTACAGCTAGAATCCCTAGAATGTTGCTTTGAGCTCTGAGTCAAGGCTAGTTAGTAAGTCTTCTACACATGCCCCCCCTCCTTTTTTGTTTTGATTCTGTATGTAGTAATTCTCTGAGTGTATGCATGTGCATGCATACACATATGTGTGTGTGTGTGTGTGTGTGTGTGTGTGTATTTTTTTCCAGAATTTAGGGGATTGAAGTTCTCTGCTCTGAGAACCATGAAAAGTTTGGTACTTCTCCATGGCTCCCTCTTGTGTTGAGGGGCATGTATTACCCACTTACCCCCAACCCCCACCTCCACAGTGAGCATAAGAATCCCTTTTGCTTGGTTCTTTTGGGGAATTCAATCAGGTTGGGACAATAATGCCACCTAGAAGTTAAACAAAGGTTTTGAAGGGCAACCTGGCAACATCTAGGAGGAGTCATAAATTAGGCCATTCTTTGGTCTAGTGATTCCATTGCTAGGATTTTATCCTTAGAATATTGTAGAAGGATAAAAGGAACCTATGTTAAAAAATAGTGATAGCTGTTTTATTTGTAATAGCAAGTAATTAGAAGTGACATTTATGTCCAGCAATTAGAAGATGGCTAAATGAGTATGCACTGATATAATTAAATATTATGGTGTCATAAAAGCAATAAGCATGAGGAACACAGGAAAATATGGAAGGAACTATATAATGTAATACAGATGGAGACCAGTAGAACCAGAACCATGTACACACTGGTATGCAAGTATTTATCTAAAAACTTAAGAAGACAAAACCAAGGAAGAGGCAAGCAGACTTGGAAAGTGATACAGAGAAGATGCATTCTGGGGGTTGGTCTGTTAGCTTAATTGGTTTTACTTTTTAATTCTGAGGGCTTTGTGTAAAATTATATTCCTTGTTTCATATATATATGTATATGTATATATACATATTTGACTATTAGTATTTATTGATGGTTATTAATCATAATATGAGCAACTAGGTGGTGCAGTGGATAGAACACTGGGTCTGGAGTCAGGAAGACTCATCTTTCTGAGTTCAAATCTTGCCTCAGACACTTACTGGATGTGTGACATTGGGCAAGTCACTTAATCCCGTTTGCTTCAGTTTCTTAATCTGTAAAAATGAGCTAGAGAAGGAAATGGAAAACCACTCAAGTATCTTTGCCAAGAAAACCCCAAATGGGTTGGACTTGAAGAGTCAGACTCGACAAAAAATGACTGAACAACAACAGACATATGTATATATATGTGTGTGTGTGTATTTACATATATATATATTTGTCTGTTAGTATTGATTGATAGTTATTAATCATAATAACTTGCACAAAATCCTACTCCAATGCCTCAGGGCACTTTGGAGGTGACTTCCAGGTTTTACAAGTCTATGCCAACAGAGAACAACTCTAGCAAGTTACACTTTGTGGGAAAGGCTTCAAGAATAGTCCCATGTCTCTTTCTGAAGACCACCCTAACTAAGTACAAGAGAGGCTTATCAATAGTAGGCTGACAAATTCTTTGGCAATGGCAAAACATCATGGGTCAATTTCCATCTATATGCATGACTCCCAGAGTGATATACCTACCACCCTGTTGAGCTCCTGCCCTGCAACACAAACTACCTATTGGACATTT